TAGGCTGATAATCAGGAGCGAAATCTAAAGCGGGTAGAAGGTTCCGTGGAACTTGTGTTCCCCTGATGGACAGGTCTGAAAGAATAAAGCTTTTTGACCTAATAGACTACGACGAATGAAAAGGAAGATGTGCAAAGGAACATCTTGGAGATTACCGCGGGCTAGTATTCAGTTGTTTGTGGACTAACAAAAGATAATGAGAAATGGGCCCTTCTGAATCCTCTATGCAGTCCATAAAAGAATGGGGTTCAAGGTTCTGAGAGGAAACACATTGCGGAGGCTTAGCGCAGAATGCATTCTCAACTCGAAATACCAGTCGTTTGTGCAAATACTAGGGGAAAAAAGTAAACCCCAGTACAAGGATATTCTAAACTTGAAATCCCTATGGGGCGAAGCAATAGATTTATCACTGGGGGTGGTATGGACATGACTATTTTCATTCTAATACAACGACGAAAAGTGGAAACTTGTGGGATTTTCTACAAATTGGTGATGGCGTTTTTCAGACACAAATGTTTCTGGGCGGGTCAAAAGAGAAAGAAACAGACGTCATTTCCGCTTGCAAAAGGCAACAACGAACTAACGGGGACGACACGGGCAGAAAGTGGCGGGGTTTATTAAAAAATAATAGTCAGACACGGAGGTGGCTGATGGTAGGTAGAGTTTCATGGTATCGAATGAAAGCGGAATGCTGATAAACAAGCAATTTGACAAAACAATGGTGTCTGGAAACAAAATCTGCTTATAAATGAAAATGGTAGGAATTCAGTGGGAACGAGCCCTAACCTTCCCTGCTGTCATTTTCGATGTTAAAGAATCCCTTGCGTCGCTAGCATTTCGAAATTAAATTTCTTGAAAGAGCCTTTGTCCCTTCAGTAAAAAGAACCACTCCTGAGCGGCACAACAAACTTCAGAATAAATGACATATCCAGGATTTAAACAATTCACAGATACAGAGAGGTCAATGTTGCCCACGGAGTTCTGCGTGTTAACCTATTTTAAATTATTCTTGCAAAGCCATCGGTGTTCTCAAGGAAGACATTTGGCTCACACGAAATATTTGTACGCAAGGTGCATCAAAAACAGTACAGAAAATTCTACAGACGTACGAGCTCTCGGATGGAAAGGGGTTTCTAGGTTTCTATTAGTAAACTACGAGGTCTCGAACCAGCTGAATATTGGCCATGCTTACACCCAACTGGATTTTTGACTATGAGATAACGATTGGATCTGCTCACCGTTGTTTTGTCTTCCGATTTCGGATTTTTCTTTTTACCTTCTCAGTAATGCAGGCTTTTTTCTAATAACTTTCAATGGGCGGTTACTTTCTTTCAGCCCCTCTTCAAAGTGTTGCACTTTGTTAATAAGGCCATCCGCGGGCGAACAAACTAGCCTATTTGGGCACAAAAATAATACGCAGTATCAATTTTCCAACACTAATGTATACGAAGAGAGTGTTTCTCCTATGAACAACAACCTGATAAAAAAAACAACCAAAGCACAGCATTTTAAACTGTCTTCTCCTTTTCCTGGGAGTTGCCAACGATTCCCAGACAAATGGACAGCACAAACACAGAAACTGGCAACTTGATGCATGTGGGGTAGCACGCTGATCATTTTCCTGAGTCAGACAGCGGATGTGCAACGCTTTGGTGAAGGTTATCGGACTGTCACGGGAGCTGTAAGCGAATGCCTGATAGAGGAAAAACATTTTTCCTGGAGGAAGGCAGATCCAAGGACCACTGTGGACATAGACCTGCACATCTCTAACCAGAAAATTTGTCACAGAGGAAGAGTAGAAGCCCTGCAATGTTATTAGGTGGCAAACTGAACTGCGGTCCGGTAGTGCTTGGTGCCATCTGATGTGGAAAACCATCCGTCCCAAGTGGGGCGTGAACAGAAGGCTAAATGAAACAGATTACGTAGCCTCGGAATTCTGTCTGCACTTACTGGACGAACGCGAAATAGTTGCCATAGAATTGTGCTAGAAATTACCTGGAGGTCGCGAACAAAGACACGACAGTCTGTTGACAGATTGATTCTACGAGCCATCCATGAGAGATCACCTGGGGCGGGGAAAAGTTGACTGATGTCGATAACTTCAGCGCCATTTTCGGCACTGTCACCTGCGTCCGCGTGATGCCTATGGTTCCCAAGACGTTTGCTCTCCTCAGTAAGCATGGAAGCTAGCGTGTGCGCATAGCTGGAAATTTCCAGCATAAACGGCCTGCCCAGACCGAGACACCTGAAGCAGGCGGAAGAGTGCACAAAAATGGTTAGACAAGCGGGGATCGATTACGGAGAAATTGACCCAACTGCACGCACGGTATTTACTGCCATCCTAGTCACTCTTCATGTCGCTGTATCGATAAATCATGAGAACATGCAGAAGTATACAGCCCAATCATGTGCTGGAAAA